ACACTCCCAGGAGAGGAGAGAACTATGACCTGCTCGGAGGGAGGGGGCTGAGCTAGGAAGCTGTGTGTGTCTCCACAAGAATCCCTCATAATTGTCTGTCAAAGACACATCCAAATTATATGCAAAATTGATGCCCTGTGTTAATTGAGAAAAACTACATACAAAATAAAAACATTTAAAAACTATCTGATTAAAGAGATATAATTGTATATAGTTTGAAGAAGTCCCAGTGGCCGTTCTTTGACAGACATATCTCCATTGAGTGATTCTTGTTGTTTATCAGGGGTAGCGAATCACAGGGGCTTGGTGCCACCCCCTCCGCCCAGCTCAAACCATTACAGATGGGCAAAAGCACTTTTGCAAACCATATTTTTTACAGATAAGTTAAGGGACCCTCTGTGAAGAATGCAGTGTTCTCAAAACAGGGCTAACTGGCCCTCACAGCATCACACTGGACAGTCAGAGATTAGGTTATGACACCTTATGTGTCTGTTTTGCACAGAACACCCCATTTTCCTACACTTTTACTTATTTACATGGTTCTGATGTTTTTAACTATTTTATGTAAACTGATAAAATAGAGCAGATCCTGCTCCTAGTTAACAAAGGAGGCTCAAGCCCCAATTAACAGTGATCTGCTCCATTACCAGCATACAGTTGGCATCTTGTATGCCAGGGCAGTGGTGATTTGCAGCAGTTTTCCATATATGCTTAATTAGGTAGAGAACCCATTCCCATTTTATTTTCAGTCTGAAAGAAAATTGTGTGGGTGGCTCAGATAGACCTGGAACAGGTCTATCTATTTTGTTAATGTAGCACACTTTACTCGGACCATTATTGTATTGAACTTATTGTGTAAGTGGCAGGAAGGCAGGTCTGTGAATTCATGTGATTGCAGGGAGACACCACTGGCAGGTAGCTCTGATTTCAGCACCCTGTGTGTGGACAGCGTAAACCTCCAGAGATAACTGTAGTGAATGAGGCCATTACATTACACAAGCTAAATCTTATACCAAGAATGGTGGCTGGTAAGAAATGTTCTTATTCTCATCACCTCATTCCCAAGAGGAAGGACACTTTCTTGCCAAACTTAAATACCAACTCTAGTACATTATTTTTTATATTGAGTGTGGAAGTGTTTAAACTTCTTTTAAATATTATTGCCGTTTGTGACCCCAAATGGCAGTGTTCTCTTATCAGTTCCTGTGGGTGTCAGACAAAATAGGAAATGAGAGGAAAGTTCCCAAACAGGAACACAGACAGCAATAACACTGTTCTTCTTTTCTGTTTGACTGGGGAAGGACCGAACCTCTGTCAGATATTATTCACTTCGCTACCAAAGTAATGTTTTCATATTTTGCACACGTTAAAATCTTCATTTTGCTAGAAAATTACCTGAAACCGCAACACATTATATATTTTCTGAACACAGGTGCCCTGTAGAATAAAAGATGATGGTTGCAATTGTTTATGCTCAATATGCAAGATATTTTCCTAATGGTTTAACAAGTCTATATTTTCAGTAACAAATAACTAAAATAATTGTTTTTGCGCACAATCATAATATATTCCTATTTGTATGCACACAATAAAAGATGACGTTGATACCAAATATATCAAGCCTGCAAAATGGGGAAAAATGACAGTACACAAAATTATCTATAAACGATGCTTCAAATGCTTTCATAGCTCATCAGTTTAGTGTTATCTGTAAAGGAGGGACCTAGAATTATTTATCTTGCTCAGGCATGTGCAGCAATACCCTATACGCATTGCACCGTCAGTGCTTACTTACATGTCCATGCCTTACGCGTGCGGTTGTGTTCACATGTGTGTGAACGGAGTGACGGGGATGCGTTTCAATTTGATTTTTATTTAGTTTATTATATTTTAGTTTTTTTAAACTTTTTCTGACTTTATTGCTATCACGAGGGGGCTAACATGCCCCATGTGTGATAGCATTGGACAGGTGTTACAGATAATCTTTGTTAGTGATATCTCCTTTGCCCACCGATTTCCCCCAAATTTTGAATGCTGGAACAACTGGTGGATGGCGCCACAGTATACAGTGTAGAAGATATGTTGTCCGCACACCATTCAGCTTCAGAATATCGTCTTTATTGGTATTCCTTCAGCATGACATGAAAACACAACATTTCTGAACCTCGCAGGGTCCCTTCTTCAGGCAAAGTGTTGACTCTTTATGGAGACATCAGGGGTATAGCAGACCCACAATGTCTCTCCTGTACTCTGTTATAGCCAATCAATCAGAATGTGCTTGATCCACTGTTTACCTGGCTTTTCAGCTAAGATACTGACAGCTCTGAACCCAGAAACACTGGAGAGGACAGCAGGGAAAAGATGTTCCTTGGTCTCCTACCACTCATCATCCTGACAATGTTTGTTGTAGTCCTGGGCTCCATGGAGGAGGGGGA